GCCTCTGGAGCTTCTGGTACTGTGGGTGTGTCTGGAGCTTCGGGTGCCTCTGGCACTTCCGGCGCCTCTGGTACTTCAGGTGCTTCCATTATCTCTGGTGCCCCTGGTGCCTCTGGTACCTCGACTATCTCCGCCAGATCTTGCTCAGCTCCGTTCTCATTAAGACAGCCATCCATCTGGTCTATCGGTTCGATAGCTTCTTCCGCGGTGGTAGTAATTACTTCAGGTTCTGCTTCAGGCGCTAGCTCCGCTGTAGATTCTTGTGGCGGGAGTGTGTCTTCAACCGGCGTGTCTGCTGGTTCAATAGAATCTTGAGTTGGAACAGGGTCTGGCTGGGGTGTGGACTCTTCGTCTAGTTGTAGGGGCTGCTGTTCCTCCGGAGTATTTTGCTGCTCTGCATCGGGTTCTGGGTCGTGCGCGTCTCCAACCCAAATAACCGATGACTCTTCATCTTCTGCTGTAGTATGATGCATGTCTTCAGCGCTTTGCCCGGCAATCTCTGACTCCACGGCCTCGGTAGTATCCGCTGGCGACCCAGATTCCTGCTCTTCCCCCATAGGTGGATCTAGCTCTGCAGCAGGTGTGATCTCAGTGGCCGGTGCCTCTGTAGCCTCGTCTGGTATAGTCTCTATGGTCTCAGGGTGTTGTGAGGGTGCAGATGTGGACTCTTCCACCAGCGTGGGAACCGTACCCTCGTCGGGCTCCACTTCGGAAGCGGTTGGCATGGACTGCTCCCCGGACTCTGCTTCTGTGGCTGATTCCTCTGCTGTCAATGGAGCTTCAGGCGCATCAGGAATTGGTTCCGCAGCATTCGTTGGCACGTTGTCAGGTGGAGCAACGGGCTCCACCGGTTTCTTGCTGCTTTTCTTCTTCTTTGCCATAACGGCCGCCAAACGTGATAGTTCTTGTAAGTAGCGTTAAAGACAACAAGAACTCCCAAATCCTGCGCTGGAGTATGCGCTTCTCACGTTGAGCTCAGATACTCGCAAAAATTAAAAAGGCGCCTGTTAACGGGGCATGACGACGGGGAACATGTCAAAAAACAACGAGCACGCGCGAAATCAGCATATAAGGAATGCGGCAGTGAAAAGAATGGAAGAGGATAGTACAAGCTGCAAACGCCTTCCCGCCCAATGGGAGATTGGCAGGGAAGTGCCAGCTCATCGTAAACTCGAGCGGTCTAATTTATATGCCCCGAGCGTTGCGTTACCAGCCATCGTATGCGACTTCGCGTGTCTGGTACAATTACGTCTAAATGGTCTTGCTGCGCTGCTCACTCTGTACGACGATGGCGGCCAGCGACAGTGGACCGGCCACAGGCCATGGACCGAATTCTTTGTTGATGTTTACTGTCGGACAGCGATTCAACGAGCCGATATGCACGCGATGACGCCGCTGGGGCTCGAAAATTGAACCTCCTGCAGCAGTGGCAGGGAGGGCGTTGTGGCGGTCTCCGGTTGGACAAGTTAGCTGCATATGAGCCTCGAAAGGAGCGCACTACAGCGGGTGCTAGCGGGAAAAGAGCAGCGGTGTGTGTGAAGATGCAGAAAAGAGGTGCGTTGTCAACAGCCTTAGCAGCTCTTGGCCCCACTGTGGCTAGCGCGCTTGGGCCCGTGGAACTTCCTCCGCGCTCCGACGCGACGCAGCCTCGACACGGCTGCTGGACTCCCATCACGCGCTCTGCACCCCCAACCGGCCTAGCACTGAGCATGTCACTCTGCGTTCGAGTGCTCTCCAGGTCCATCAAACGGGGGCGGCATGGCTAAGCTTCGGGCCACGCGCAAAAAGCCGATCGTCGTCTCATCCGAGTCTGAGGCGGATGATTCACATACACCGCCTCCCGCGCGTCCCAAGAGGGGCACACTAACAGGCACCCGATCCCAGACACGTGCAGCCTCGCCCACGCGATCGCGAGCAGTTCCTACTAAGCAGTCTCCAGCCAAATCGCCGGCTAAAGCAAAGCCAGCATCCAAGCCCATCACTTCTTTCTTCAGTAATATACCGCGCTCGCAGTCGCTACACCCCACGCCGAGCCCCGAGAAACCGGCCCTGTCAATTGAAGATGTAGACGATATCTTTGATTCCTCAGATGATGCGCCGTCCATCAAGGCCCCGAAACCCCTCCCCGTTCGTAAGAGACCGATCGCTGCGACAGCGCCAACGGGCCCTGCCAATGCTGTGAGCAACAGGCAGAAGTTCCTGCGAACAGCGAGCGGAGCGCGTAGTACAACCCCGCTATCCACAACACCGATATCGTCCCAGCCAGCGCGGCAGGATACAGAAGACCGGCGGCCGTGGACTGAAAAGTACGGCCCAGTGTCGCTCGATGAGCTCGCTGTGCATAAGAGGAAGGTAGCGGACGTGCGGACATGGCTCACTGACGTCTTCAGCGGCAAGGCACGCAAGCGATTGCTGCTGCTCAAAGGCCCTGCTGGCAGTGGGAAGACCACCACCATGTCCCTGCTGTCCAAGGAACTGGGCATCCACATGCATGAATGGAAGAACCCTATAGGTTCCATGTCAACCTCCGACAGCTTTGTGTCTGCTACCGCACAGTTCGAAGAATTCGTTGGAAGGACTGGAGCCTTTGGTAGTCTGGCCTTCGATGAGCTGACAATGAGTGCCCGGACGGCTTCGTCCAACAGTCAGACGGAAAGGCAGAGGCAGCTGGTCCTAGTAGAGGAGTTTCCGAATACATTCACACGTACTTCTTCGGCCGTTCAATCTTTTCGCTCTTCCGTCCTCAACTATCTTGCTGCCAATACGCAATCAGCTACTGCTTTCTTTTCGACCCAGGTCGATCCCGAGCAGCCAGTGACCCCAATCGTAATGATAATATCCGAGACCTTGCTGTCTACCAACACGGCAGCAGCCGACAGCTTCACTGCACATCGGCTGTTAGGCCCTGAGATCCTGACCCATCCCGGAGTGTCTGTTCTCGAGTTCAACCCAATCGCCCCCACGTACATGACAAAGGCGTTAGAGACAATCGTTGTCAAGGAGGCGCGCAAATCCGGACGCAAGAAGACTCTAGGGCCACAGGCAATTCAGCGTCTTGCAGAACTTGGAGACATTCGCAGCGCTGTCTCCTCCCTAGAGTTCCTCTGCCTGCGAGGCGATGATGCTGAAGGCTGGGGCGCGAAGGTCAACCTCACGAAGAAGAAGGGCCCGAAAGACATCCCGATGACGAAGATCGAGCAGGAGTCGCTCGAGATGGTGACGCAGCGCGAAAGCACTCTCGGCATCTTCCATGCTGTTGGGAGGGTTGTGTACAACAAGCGTCTACCGGAGGACCCTAACACACCCGTGGCACATCCACCGAACTGGTTTCCCGAAAGGCGAAGACCGAAGGCCTCGGAGGTCAATGTCGACACACTCATCGATGAGCTGGGTACCGATACCCAAACCTTTGTCGCTGCTCTACACGAGAATTATGTCCTGTCCTGCGGGGCTGCAGACAGCGAGGAAACCATTGATTCTATCGAGGGCTGTATAGAAGCTCTTTCCGATGCCGACCTTCTATCGCCGGACCGCTTTGGTGCGGGCGCTGGCCGACGGGTCCTTCAAGGGACTAGTGCGGACAATCTACGTCAAGACGAGATGTGCTTTCAGACGAGCGTACGCGGGCTTCTGTATAACCTGCCGTATCCCGTCAAGCGCGTTGCACCGCCTCCAGGCATCATGGGCATCAAGGCGAAAGGCCAAGGAGCAAGTGGTGGAGCGTCAAAAGGCAACGCGTTTGTCATGTACTATCCGGCGTCGCTACGGATATGGAAACAACAGGAAGAGATTGAGGGCTCACTGGAAATGTGGGTATCAAAGGCGCAGCGTGGTGAGCTCTTTTCGACAGGGTCAACTACATCGAAAGCGGCTCTCTCGAGCGGAGGAGTCGAGTCGTGGAAAGGCAATGCTTCGTTCTCACAGCCCACATCGGCATCCGGCTCGAACGATGCCGAAGAAGATGCGCCATCTTCAATTCACCTTGGGAGCGGCGGCTCGGCTCGGAACGAAATGCTTCTAGAACGTCTTCCTTACATGACCACCATCTTGCGGAAATCACGCATGCCGAACCCATCCACAGCAGCCACCGTGCGCGAAATCCGGAAGATCACAGCCTTCACCGGAAACGCTCTCTCCGGTGCTACTGAAGAAGATGACGCTGAAGAAGACATTCGCCCTGGCGAGCAAGAGCAGTGGTCCACGGACAAACCGACTCTGGAAACGCCGAAGAAGAGAGGACGGGTGAAGTTTGAGAGTAAGGCACAAGAGCCGGAAACAGCGATTGCTGGCTTAGCGGACAAAGGTGCTAGTCTCACGTTGAGTGATGATGATATCGAGGATTAATCGGATGATATGGCTGTGTACACTATCATATTTTCTAAGATCTCACTAGAAGAAAAGTTCGTCGCGATTACCGGCATTGGCGCTGACATGTTGATGGCGTTTTCTGTATCACGGATACTATTCTCGCAGCAGGAGTAGTATAGCGGAGAACAGCCATATATTTACTTTCAATGTGTATATTGAGATACTTGACTACCCTATCTGATTGATTGAAGCGTGGGCATCAGACGGGCAACATTCACCTTAATCGGTGTTATTTGCGATACGTTCTCATGCCACCCTTGCGTAGTCTTCTATCCAATCTCTTCCTTTCGGGGTTCGCAAATCTGTCGTGAGATGGCCTCAGGGAGATGAGACACGTACGAAAAGTTGCATACTCTTTACTGAGCATCCAACAGACGTGCTCTGGATCATGCTGACGCCATCAGGTAACTCGCGGCGCGGCCTCACAAGCAAAAGTCTGAGCCGGTGCCACAGGCTAAACGCGCAAACGCATTGTTCCTATCTCTCGCAGCTACAGTGATCGCGTCACCAAAACTTCAATCTACCGAACAACGGCCTCTCTTTCCGAGCTTTCCTGGCGGCTTCAGCAGCTCCAGCGGCGTCTTTTGCTAATCGCGGTTTAGCTTAGCCAACAAACAACAGGCATGTAGTTACTATGTCAACGCCAACTCACCATTAAGCTCATCAGCAACTTTTTTCATAGCTTCCAAAGCCTTCTCAAAGAAAGGTTTCAGCTCTAGATGCTCAGCACCGAATTCATGCCCTCTGATCTCATACTGCTTGAACCAGGCCTCTAGGGAATCAATTGGCGAGCGGCCGGGCGGATCCCGAGAAGGAAGCCTGGGATCAGCCCCGGCTTCGAGAAGCAGATGGACAACAGGGAGATTTTGCTTGAGATGGGCAAAGTCGGCGGGCCAGCCATCTTCGATTGCACAGTCTAGCGGGCGGCCTACACCGCGGGGGCGCTTGTCGAGTTCGTTGGGAGAGAAGCCTTCGGATAGAGCAGCGCGCATGGCGGCAAGGCGTGTTTCGATGGGCTCATAGGACATCGGCTGTGTTAAGAGCGGGCTGACTACCATGGTGATGGATGGGGCTTCGTTGGCAAGAGTTGAAGATGGGAGCAGGGATGGAACCAAGAACGGTGTTTGTAGGAAGTTGCACGTCGTAAGTCGCGCTGAATTGCGGGTGTAATGTATGTCGCTGCTGCCTGCGCGATCGCAATGTAGCCAGAGGGGCTTCGTGGTAACGAAGACACACGAGGTGATGTGCTGCAGTTCTACTCTCTGGAAAGATGAGCCCGTATACTTAAATATTGGAGGTAGTACGGGTTCGGATTGACGCGAGGCCTGCCCAGGTGATGTTGCTGTCGGTCTTGACGTTCAGGCTGTCTGTCGCCTGGGGCTGCTATCAAAACGTTTCCCTGACTTCGCTACTGTTTTGGTATTGATGACCATTAACATGGTCTTCGGGTATCGCTGCACGTTCTCTCGCAGTGTTAAGGTTCATTGCGCTCTGCGTCATCGCAGGCACGTGCACGTGAGTGGGCGAGGCACAACCTTGGAAGATGTCGCGTGTCGCATGTCACGGTTGGGAAGTAAACTACCCCACAATCTATCGCGCACATTGCGAGCGTGTTTACTCTTCAATTCACGACATCGACGCCATCATACTAGCGTCATTGTTCGTGCAGAATGACTCCATCCTCGGTCGTGGAGGGCCGAGGCCGAATCACGCTACTGCTCGCCCGCTTCCCGGTGCCGGCACTTGCACCATGCCAACATCTCGGCCAGCGGTTCTCTTCCTACTCCACATCTCGCTCCCACACACCGAAACTCTCGGATCTGGGCACCGAGTTCGCCAGACGCGTAAGGGCACGATCCTAGCCATGCAAGCGTATGTCTTCGTAGCCCATTACCCGGTCGGTCACAACGCGTCTCGACGCGTATAGAGCGCTAACGTCGACGTGCAGGTGCGATCACTGTCATGAGAGGAAGGTTCGATGCGACAAGCTTCTCCCGTGCCGACGATGCAGCTTGAATGGATCAGAATGCCGCTATACAGATCGGACCAAAGCACGCACCTATAGCCAGGCTCACGTAGACACGCTTGAACGCAGGATTAAGCGCTTAGAAGTTCAAAACAGGACTCTTGTGCAACAAAGGAGGGCAGACTCGGTACCCTCTACAGGCCAGAATTCCGCTCCCAATGTCCAAAGTAATCATTCCAGAAACGATAGTGGCACTTCGCAGCGTCGTACATCTACCGACGTCGCGGGTGAAGTGTCCTACCTCTCAATCAATGCGTCCGGAGAAAGGAACTATCTAGGGTCCTCAAGCGGCATACTTCTCGCGAACTTCATCAGAGCCAATGTGGACGTTGAAACTTCAACGCCGTCGACAACTCCACCTGTTGACACTGATGCTATCAACGCGACTGCTTCGGCTATTGAGTTTGCTCGAGACTTACCATCTGAACAGATAGCGAGCAGACTTGTACTGTCCTATCTCAACCATGACCACTTACGCTACCCTGTGGTCCTCCCTGCTACTCTCGGTGCGATGCTTTCGGAAATATACAGCTCGAACGCGAGTTCCTCCACGCGCTCCGCAAGTGAAACTTTCATTTTCGACATGGTTCTTGCTATCGCGACAGCCAGCATCTGCCGGTCCGATTGGCAAGGGCTACCAAGTGCTCATACTCATTACATACGGGCGATGAAGCGAGCCTCGACCGTCTTGGAGAAAGGCGGGCTCGGCGCACTTCAAGCAGTTATCCTGTTGATTCAGTATCGCATGAGCAGTTCCATGGAAGATACCTCAGCCAGTATGTTGCTACACCTCCGTACATCAGAGCAGATCCTGCCGGATCGCAAGAGCCATCTAATAATTACACAGGCATGTGGCATCTGGTAGGAGTGGGAAGCAGAATTGCCCTGGAACTTGGCCTTCATTGTGAAACTGCATATCCTTACAAACGCTCGGATGACTCTACAAGTAATGCAGACTTGAGTGCCGATCTTGTACAGCAGGAAGTTTCCCGGCTTTGCTTTTGGAGCATTGTGGCTATGGACAGGTATGTTAGGCAATTGTGACGCGAGCATATGCCAGAGGGTGAACTAGCTGACAGCGTACTAGAATAGTCAGCAACATACTTGGCAGACCTCTGGCAATTCACAACGACGACGTAGACGCGGCACTACCGTCTGACCTATGTGACGAGATCCTGCTTTCTGGACTCGAAACGCCCATGGCCGAGAACCTGGTCAAATGCCGCCGCATACCAATTTTCGTTCAGATCATCAAGTATCGCCTACTGTGTGGTGATATCATCCAGACTCTGCACAGTCACCGTCGAAGAAATCAGTCGGATGATGAGCTCCGCCACCGTAGAGATGAATTCGCTGCCGACCTCAGAGTTTGGCGCCTGAATGCCGAAACGGTCGCTCATCCGGGTTCTCTGGATGAAGGCAGGCCTTCATCTTGCTTCACTTCACCAACTTGGTTCGAGATGATATACCATAACGCCGTGCTAATGCTCCATCGACCATCGCCCACACTGGACACGTCAAGAGACTCAGTTGCGGTACAAGCGATTTTCGCCTCCTCTCAGGCTTCCATATCCTCGTATGCTAGCCTTCATCGTATGGGGCTCTTGAATCACAGCTGGCTTTCATTACAAGCTTTGTTCATGGCAGGGTTATCATATGTGTACGCTGTAACGATGCACTACCAGGCCATTCGGAGACAGCAAGGTCAACGACTAGGTGGTCTGCTGATCAGAAACCCAAGCACTATGGAAGTGATTAGCGATACACGAACATGCTCAAACGTCCTTGTAGCGGTATCGGAAAGATGGAAGTCGTTGCAACGCTGCGTCGATGTCTTCAACAGGCTGAGCGATGCTATCCTAATCGACGTTATCAAATTCAGCACACACCCCATCGCCGTCACCACCCCTGCGGCCAACAGCTCAGAAGACAGTGCCCACCAGTGCAGCAACCGGTCGGAGCTGGCGGCGGATACAGACTCGAATGAGTTGGGCCAGCCTCACTGGATGCACGCACAATACCTTCAACCTGTCGGAGCCGATGGAATGGTGTCTAATGCATCCCCACTTGCGATCGAGAATGAATTCAAGGGCTCTGCGTATGATCTACGACAAATGTACGATCAACAACAAGTCGACATGTCTGTGTATCGGTTCTCTCAGGCGTGGTTCGACAGCTTCGACTTGTACGGTGGTATGGAACCTCAGCTCAACGACATGACAATGAATACGCAGTTTTGATGTCAGCATGCTCCCACCGTTGCTAAAGCTGGCCTCGCATAAGGCTGCCCGCTTTTGCGCGGGGTGAAGCAATCAATTGACAGTTTCGAGTGTGCCGGACATTGGCCACGATCAATTGACCGGAATTATTGGCGCCACAATCACCACACACCTGTCACCCTTGCGGCTCACGGAACATGAGGTCGCTCTAGAATAGTTGTATTTGCATCTTTCGGCGTGGGTACGCCGAGAGGCGTCGTTGCCAAGCAGTCCACCGGTAGTCTTGCTCGGGGCGGCGTCGCCGAGGGGTGGTGACCCGCCACTGCGAGTCAGCGCTTCGGAGCGGGACTACCAAAGTTGGGATCTTAGCGCCCCAACCCTGACTTTCATGTCGATATCTGGTGCGAGGACGCCATTATCCGGGGCGACCCCATGGGGAGAAGGACTAGTGTTCGATGCGCGGGGTAAATGAACGAGATTCGATATAAATCACTGTCCCGTCAATAGGACTATGCATCTTTTTCGCAGTGCCTTTAGCCTGGGTTCTTGCCCTACTCTTGACGCTGAAAGACCCTGTCGACGATACCATGGCCGTACCACAATCTGAGCCCGTGCAGGGTGTAGGATCTCCCATGCCAGGTCACACCGTGGACCCAATCGATGAGAAGTTCCAGAGCCAGCATATGGAGTATGAGAAAGTCGAGGTCAAAGGTGATTACTCTGGGGCCGTGGCCAAAACGAGCCCCGAGGAGAAGAAGCTCGTCAGGAAGCTGGATATCTGGATTATGGTCAGTCGACTATTGCCATACCTCCCAAATTTTGACTAATTACCCTATCCAGCCCATGCTTTGGTTGATGTACTGGCTCAACTACCTAGACCGCAACGCCATTACCCTCGCTCGCCTCAATGGGTTTCAAGACGACCTTGGACTCACCAGCAACCAATACAGCACTGCTATCTCTATCCTTTTCGTCGGATACATCCTAGGTAAGTTCTGGCTGTACGAAGTGCATGTGAGACATATACTGACTTCGTACCCCTACCTGCAGGGCAAATACCGAGCAACATGATTATCACGCGCGTCAAACCTTCGTGGTACATGGGAATTTGTATGATGGGATGGGCGATTGTAAGCGGGCTTACAGCTATCGTACACAACTACACAGGCATCGTACTTGTGCGCTTCTTCCTGGGTGTGGTCGAGGCACCATACTACCCAGGAGCGCTGTATCTCTTGAGTATCTTCTACACGAGAAAGGAGATTGCGACACGCATCAGCATTCTCTACTCTGGCAACATCCTCGCTTCGTCATTCGCTGGACTCATTGCGCTTGGCGTCTTCAAACTCGATGGTGTCCGTGGTATCAGGTATGATCCCCACACAGTTCTTGTGAAACAGATACTGACCTCACGTCAAGCGGATGGCGTTGGTTGTTCATAATACAGGGTGTCGTCACCTTCATCATTGCCGTAATAGCTTGCTTTACCCTCCCTGACGAGCCTTTGACCACATGGTGGCTCAACCCCGAAGAACGCCAACTTGCGCACGCCCGGGTTGCGCGAGATACAGTCGGCCACTCCGCCGACGTCTCCATGCTCGCAGGCCTAAAGGAAGCTATCCGAGACCCCAAAGTTTGGGTATTCGTCTACATGCAACACCTGTTAGTTCTATCGGTCCCGCTACATTTCCCCTCTCTGACACTGTCTAGGCATATTGCTACCAATGGGTAAGTTCTGACTGTACGAAGTGCATGTGAGACATATACTGACTTCGTACTCCTACCTCTGCAGGTTCAAGAACTTCATGCCAACGATCGTCAACACACTAGGCTTCTCTCAGGAAGTCACACTCGTATTGACATGCCCACCTTACTTGATTGCGGGCGCATTCTCCGTCGCATGGGCCATATCATCTGGCCATTTCAACGAACGCACCTGGCACATCACCATTGCCAAAGGCGTAGCTGTCTTTGGCTTCGTGCTCGGCTGCGCGACTATGAACGTGGGCGCGAGGTACTTCGCCATGTGCGTCTTTACCATCGGCACGTATGGCGTCAACAGCATTATCCTCGGGTGGGTGTCCTCAACCTGTGGACAAACGAGGGAGAAGAAATCTGCGGCGCTGGCTATTGCGAACGTCGCAGCTACACTCAGCTTGATCTGGACTCCCGTAAGTCTCGCATCTTGATCGCCTGGATATGTTAACTAATGTTGAACAGTACATCTGGCCAGAGTGGTCGGAGCCGCGGTTCGTCTTACCCTTGGCTATGAGTGCTGGTATGGCACTCATGTGTGCGGCTGGCGCATGGTTTATGCGCTGGTGGTTGGTGCGGGAGAATAGGAGGATTAAGAGCTCGAACTCTGAGACTACGATGTTCTACGCCTATTGAAAGAGGAGACGTCTCGAAAGTATATTGAAGTAATTAACTACTGCCCCAAGGGTTCCAAGCCTATGTACCCAATGTACAAATATGTGCCTGAGCTGACGCCACCGGCCCACCCTATTGTATCATTCCCCTTCTCTGTTGAATCTGATCGCTTGGATGTAGCATATAACTTCATACAGTAGCCGTTAGCTTGGCAGAGCTGGTTTCCATACTCTGGCTTCCTCTTGGCAGACAGCTGACTATACGATATGTCGAAATGCTCTTTCTTTCACATGCGGTACTTGGGTGTTTGTGTCGAATGTGTCACATGTTGCTATATTTCTGGGAGAGAGCTGAATGTCGGTTAAATGAGTCATGAACCGCAGGGCTGATACGGAGTCTCGCCAGGACTTCGGGAACTCCTGGGGTAGGAATCCTTTGACCTTTTCAGAAGGTAGGGCGATCGGTGTGTTTTGATTCGCTTGAGTCATTCAACAACTTCCGTCATTATGCCGTACGAGATGATTTTCCTGCTATTTTCCCCTGTAGGAGTTTCCGATCACATGTCGATCCTCTGTACACGGTATGCATTGGCAATTTAAATAACACATGCCAACTGTGTGACGAAAATCGATACTTCATGGGGCCGGCGAAGGATTCTGGCTGTTACATGGAACGCATCCTACGCGCAATCCTACGCGGCATGCTACGCATCCGACGGCAGTGTATCTAACAATGAGCCCACTTTATCACACCAGGAGCGTCTAACGTTCCGCAAACCTTTGCAACACCAATCGTCAACACCATGGGACTGTGGGACGTGGAAGACTATGGCACTATCGCTGATAGGGCTTGCTGGTCTATGTTCGCAGTCACAGCTGGCGAGTAGCCCTCTTATGTTGCGCCGAATGGCAGCTAACTGTCTTGCAGTGTTCGTGGCGTTGAGAGTCGGCACTCGCATGTCCAGCAAAGGCGGTGGCCTTGGAATGGACGACTACATCACCGTGTTCTGTGTCGTTGTGATGCTCGTCACCTGCATCCTGATCTCGATCGGCACACAGTACGGTCTTGGACGAAGAATGGAGGCTATCGATCCCCCATTGATACCGCGAGCCCTCAAGTGGAATGTAATCATCAGTTCGGTACTGATATGGACGTTTTCGCTACCCAAGTTTGCCATCATCGCTATTCTCAAGCGCATTCTGGACTACGGCCTCAAAACTACGATACTATTCTGGGGCCTCGCGCTCAGCTCCCAGGCCTGCATATTGGCTACCTCGATCTGGTGGTACAAGCAATGCGATCCGGTCGAATTCGGCTGGAACAGAACGATACCGGGTGGAAAATGTGCCAGTACCAAGGTCATGTCAGATTTGGGCTATTTCACTTCCGCCTACTCTGCCTTCCTGGATGTTTTCTTCGCTGTGTACCCGATCCCATTCATCATGCGCCTCAACATGCCACTCAAGAACCGTATCCTGGTCTCGATCGCGCTGGGCCTCACTATCCTGGCCTTCATCCTCACCATCTACAAACTCACAATCTTTGGAGAAATTTTCGTAGTACTGGCTGAGAACCCAACTTGTGAGTTGTTCATCCCACATATTTTTCAGCATGGAACTAACTCTGTTAGACCCGGTACCGCTTCTCGATATACTCGGTCTAGGAGAGGGTTGTATTCTCGTGGTATGCTCCTCTCTGCCCACACTGGGCCCGCTCTTCCGCTCGGTCAGAGGCAAGGTTCGGACTCTCAGTGGCAGTGGTAATGGCAGTAGGACCACTAGCCAGGGACAACGCAGCAGCGCCACCCACCGAGGAGGACTATCCAGCACCAGCGGAAGATGGGAAAAACTTCTAAGGCATCAGTTGGATGACGTGGAGAGGACATCGACCCACACCGGTGAAAGCATCGATGACATCCCGCTCGTTTACCACGGCGCGGACCAGATCCACAAGACGCTTGAGTTTAACGTGACGACGAGCGCGAAGGGCGACCGATGGGCGAAGCCAATTGACGATCGTGACAAGTAGCTTGGTATCAGTGTGGGGGTCAGTACTTCCTCTAAACATCTACGCGCGCGATAGGGCAGCAGGGCCGTGGTGATGATCTGATTGGGCAAGCTTTGATGTTGTTGAGGTAATGTTGTTAAGGCGAGGAACTGTGAAACTCAATACAGACTCTTCAGCAACACAAAAGTTCAACTGCTACAACACGTACCAACCGGTAGGTCTGGTCGAGGTCGCTCGCACGAGTCCGAGGGGCTGCATGCCACGCGCTACCTGCCAAGGATGGCGTGAGAAGTTGGGGGCCCAACGGGTGGGTCCGCCCCTGAGACATCCTTGCTCACTTCAACCTCGGATACCGTGTCCTCAACTGATCAGTGCTAACCACTTCAACCCGCATGGCATTAAATCGTGCGGCTTGTTAGATGCGATTCGGAACTAATTACTCCGTAGAAGTTTGGCCACATCACGTGTCGTTCAAGTCAGTTTACGTATCAGGAAAAGTGCACAGAGGAAGAATGGATCTTAGTACGCGCTTAACTGTTACAAGAAATTTGCTAACTACTATAGTATTTGGAAACCTTCAGTCGGCCGGTAGATATGGCCACAGTTTACGGTAGATAACAACATTACTCTTTGTCAAATAGTAGACGGCGTGTCATTCCCGTTGTTCCTGCATCTTTACCCAAAAATTAATTCCTATTTCCAACATGGCATCAGCGGACCAACTTATCGGAGCCCTGGAGGGCCTTGACGCGAACTCCTTCGTTAGCGAAGCAGAGCGCGTCCGTGCCATGGACGCGCTGACCCTGGCCTTGAGCAAAGTACACAAGCCGTGGGACATTGTTTGGCAGCACTGCTGGGTCAACCCGGCCACCAATGCATGCGTCAAGACGTTGATTGACGCGGGTGTCTTCAGCAAATGGATCAAGACCGGAGGCGGAGAGAAAACTTGCGCGGAACTGGCTGAGTTAACGGGTGTCGATGTAGTACTTATCCGTAGGTTACATATCCGTTCTGCTTAACTCTTGAGGAGTATTCTGACGGCAATGCAGGACGCATGATTCGGCAAATTTCTGGGCAGAATCTTGTCATCGAGACCGCCGAGGATACCTATAAGCCTACACCGTGGGTACACGCTCTCGCTGAGGATCAGGCCCTCGCCAACGTCTATGGTGAATTTTATGGCTTCGTCAATTCCCCCATGTTCAGGACTTTGCCAGCCTACCTCAAGAAAACGGGATACAAGGTCCCTACTAACCCCAACGACTGCAATTGGCAGTTCATGAGGGGCTCAGATGAGAATCTATTCCAGTCCCTTGGCGCGAACCCTGCCGCCGCAAGGGAATTCAATGATGCCATGGAGAGTCACTCCAAGCATAACTTGACGCCCTGGGTTGATGTTTACCCAACTGAGACTCTTGTGAAAGAGTCCAAGCCTGACCGGCCCCTTGTCGTCGATGTCGGTGGTAGCAAGGGCCACGACCTGACCAAATTCCATCTGCGCCACCCTGATATCCCCGAGGGCAGTCTGGTGCTCCAAGACCTGCCCGATATTCTCAAGGAGTTGACTATTGACGACACCATCTCTATCCACCCTCATGACTTCTTTAAACCACAGCCAGTGAAAGGTGCCCGTGCCTACTTCATGCACAACGTGCTGCACGACTGGGAAGACACACAGGCGAAGCAGATCCTTTCTCACCTTGCCGAAGCTATGGAACCCGGGTACTCGAAGCTTCTCATTCACGAAAGCTTGGTTAGCTCTGTGAAGCCGCTCGCTCGCGTGACAACGTCCGATATCACCATGATGGCGTGCCTTGGTGCGAAGGAGAGAACGGAGGCTGAATGGCGGGCGCTGGTGGAGAGTTCAGGATTGAAGGTGCTCAAGATATGGAGACCACGTCACTCTGTAGAAAGTGTTATTGAGGCAGAGCGGGTATTGTAGACAGAATAACTGGAAGAGAGTGTATGTCTTGTATCCTTTGTGATCTCCTAGCTGAGCTTGTGTCCATTCGCTCGCTGCATCCCGAGGTTACAATAAGTATATATTGAGCCAGATTGCTCATTCTTTCACATACGACCATAGGATCTTGAACTCAGCGCTTCCCGTTCGCTCAGCGGTACTTAAGCAAGATACCGGCGCATTAGTAGCTTCGTGGGTGACCAGAAGCGAATCCGCGCTGTTGTATGTTTTTGCCATTTTTTTTGCCCGCGGCGAGGAACGAAACCGCGGCGCATGACGGGGCGTGGAGCTGCCACGACGTCGGCTTGAGCCCTTGTTCTTGCACAGGGCGCTGTATCAGCAACTCGACTGGAGATGTCGCGGCTCATGTTGGTATCGTGATCTTCAGACTGGACAGCTGGTGTGGGGGGTTTTCGGGCAGGCTCGGCGACGCGACTGCGAAAGTCCGGTGCCTGCCCGCCAGAGATCCCACGTGAACTTTATTTTCTTCTTGCACTACCCACGAAAAGGTGCGTGTTCAACATCTGTTGTACACGTCGCAATAGCATTTCTCGTATGCGGGACAGCTGGTTCACGTTAGCAGCGGCGCAATGCGACTTCGATCGACCAAGCACTTACTAAACGGGCTCCTGCCCAAACAGAATGTGCCAAAGGTACTCGAACACCCTCCCGCTTGTCTCGTCCTTCAGTGGCGTTTCCATCAGCCACGTGTAATACTTCTGGTACTCGTCCAGTGGCCGTTGCCGCACTTGCTTACTCGACACGGCAAACTGCGCACAGCAAGGCGTTGCCAGGATGTGCGGTACATCCGTATTGTTGAACAGGTCTCGCCACGCGTCCGGCATCGCTGCCTCGATCGTTCGATGCTCCTCAGGCGGATCTCGGAAAGGCATCACTTCGTGCGGACAGCCGGGATCGTTGACACAACGCAGATTCGCGTAGCCGTTGCTCTGGATGAAGTTGAAGTTGAGACTTTGCAGAGAGACGACGTTGGAATGCTCCTGGTTGTCGGTGTGCCACGCGATCGGGTAGCCATCTTTGTGCGGATGAATGAACGCGATTGTTGAAGGTAGGTTGTCGTAGTTTTGCACGATGTACGCGAGGTATGCATTCGCTTCCATTCCTTTGTTTCGGAGGGTCCGTAGAGTGCTGTTGGTCATCGGATCCAGCGTTGATATGTTGTATGGAGTTTCTATGTCGATGTCGTAAATGGCTGCTTGCCAGTCTGGTAGATCGGTATGCACCCAATCTGTTTCGTCGGTGGGAAGCTTTGCCATTACCACGACGCGATCAGGCAGGGATGGAGTAGGTGTCGCGACAGCATTACTTTGCGTCGATGTGCTCATCTGTTGAAAGGTGGTGGAAGTCGATGACATTTTCTCTTTCGCGCCTGCATTCGCATGCTCTTGCTCAAATATCTCTTGCTTGTCTTCTGCTTCCGTTGCCTCGTATTGCCATGGCTTTTCATCCACGCTGGGCTCGGCCGGTCCTCTTTCGGCGACATTGAAGTGGGCGTCAAAGAGATACCAGGAGCAGAGCAGGAACACTGCCAACACCAAAAACTCGATTTGTCTACGGGAACGCATCATCGCTTGATGGCAAGTGGGTCGAGTGCACGAGAGGTAGTGAGATCGGGCATGCGACAGCTGATTCCAAGAAGTTGTTCGGAAAATAGTATTGTGAGGGCGTGCACAGGCGATATCGAGCGCGTAGAAAGATTGCCGATTACCGGATCGTGAAAGCAACTGCGCCGTGCAGTCTGAAGCACACACACAGAGGTATCGTGAAATGCGACAGAAAATGGAATCTTCCGTCGCAGCTGGCAATCTACCGATGCGACATTGCGGCACAGCTCCTTTAGTATCAAGACACGTACAAAGAGTTGCGCGCGGTTATGCCATCGGCGCTAAGCGGCGTGCGCTGGTTGGTGAATTTGTGAGGCTCACGTACATGTACGCTAACCCCACATGATTGCGATGCAGCAGGGCATGAACTGAGCGTAAGACAACACCAAATTCGGTCAGACATGCTACACGACTCGTTTAAGCGCTATCACTTGACAGTACCTTACAGCCTTGCGGTTCCTCTACTCCCGCGGTTTTCAGCTTTCCAGTCCTCCCGTACGTCGTCACTTCCAAATTTGCAACACCAAACGTTGCAATGGGTCTCCCAGTAGGCCTGTTCCCGTTATTTCTGGGGATTCTACACTTTGCGATCTTTGCGAAAAGCCAGTGTCAGCCACAGCCTATTGTCGCACCCATCCAGAATGTGTCTTTACCCAACGGGGCCTCCGTGAGAGGGATCTCCATGACAGTCGGTTCTAATGACCAGAACATCTCATTCTTCGCCAGCGGGTAAGTCTAATTGCATCACTCAGCTTAAGAATTCCCCATAGCTAACTGGTAATCGATAGCGATTACAACGAAACTTACATCTACGGAACCGATGGACTTTGTACAAAGGCCTACTCATCTGCAGCATGCGTGACATTCCGTGGCGGCGCATATGATGCATCAGAATCTTCTACGGACAAGTCAATCGGCGATCGAAAGGATAGCGATGGCTTCAAGGCCGACTAGATAGAAGACACTCTTAGCTTTGGCGATAACACCACGCTTTCTACATTTAGACAGTGTATTATACTTATAATTTCTCTTATTTATAAAAGTATCTTTTTATTAAAGTTATTAATATTATAAAAGTTATAAGTAGCTTATTTTACTTTACGTTATTATAGTACTATAAAGTAAAGTAAATAGTAACTATAAAATAAAATTACTATATATAGATATAAGTTAAAGAGAAAAAAATATAAAAAGTAACTATAGTAAGTACTACTACTTCTTAAAAATATAATATATATATAACTATAGCTACTAATATAATTACTATTTTTTATATAAATACTTAGCTTACTTTTAATAGTAAATTACTACTACTTAGTATTTCTTTATAACTTTTAGCTTTTTTAGAGTCTACTATTATAATAGAAAAGATAGTAAAATTATAAGCTACTTATTACTAATAAGTTATTATTTTTAGAAGTAGTACTTCTTTTAAAGCTTAGCTACGCGCTAAATAGTTATATAATATCTAGAAGTATAGTTTTATAATAGATATATTAAGTTAAAATTATATTACTAGTAAAATACTATATTATAGAAAGAGAAAGCTATATAAGTAGAGTTTTAAAGTTTCTTACCTAATATAGAGCTAGGTCTAATTAGGTAGAAATTATAAATTTAATTTATAATACTACTTCTTCTCTCTTTTTAGGTAAGTTCTAATACCTAAAACCTTTTTACTAAATAACTTTTCTAGTATATTATAAAAGTAATATTATATCTAATTACTTCTAATTAAATATATAAAGAAGATACTTCTTTTATAAAAGCTATAAGAGCTAAAGTATCTTTTATATTTTTTACTATTACTTTATTATTCTTTATAACTATTATATCTATAGCGTAGTTTAATTATAGCGCTTAGAGTAGCTTTAGAAGAATATAAAAGTATTAGTAAAAGACTTAGAATTATCTATTAGTATTAGTATACTTATAAGTATATTACTCTTATAATAGTATTATCTAGAATATTATAGCTTATACTACTCTTATCTTAATTATAGTCTAGTAAGTTACTTAGACTCTAAGTTACTATTATATAACTAAATATAGTATAAGCTTATTATTAAAAAATATATTATATAAGAACGCTAATATATCTTTTCTATAAGATTCTATTATAGTAAAGAGAGTATTAGATTACTACTAGTTTACTAAGAATAGCTTATAGTAATAGTCTACTTATTATATAAGTAATAAGTTATAATAAAATATTATATAACTATTTATAAAATAAGTAGTTTAACTAGCCTTAGTAATTAGTAGTTATTACGTAGATAAATTATTATTATAAAAAGGTTCTATCTACTAGTAAGTATATTAAACTATTAATATAGTTCTAGCTTAGATAGCTTATATTAATAGTACTCTAGAATAAAGTTAGGTAAACTAATTAGGTTTATATAGAGTTTCTAAGATAGGTTATTAAAACACTTTAAGTAGTTTATCTATTAGACTTTATACTATAAAAGGCTCTTCTTATTTAAGTAGAAGTTATAGAGTTATTAGTTAATATAGCTATTAAAGATAGCTTTAACTATATACTTAGTATTATTATCTACTTTAGAGTTAGTAAGCTTTATATATTCTTTTTTATTATAAGGCTAGCTAAGTAAAAGCTTATTATTAATAGCGTAGAGTAACTATAAGTAAAAGATATTATAAGCTTATATCTCTAGTAATAAAGTAACTTTATAGACTATATTATTAATAACTTATATAATAATAAAAAGTCTATAGTTTTTAAAGTCTAGTAACTAGTTTAGTTACGTTATACGTAGATTATAAAAGTCTACTATAATATAGTTTTCTATTTTAAACTCTAGAGTAGGTAGTTAATATACGTTTATATACTTAGCTTACTTTACTTAGACCTAAGTAAGCTATTATTAAAGAAAAGTCTAAAAGTCTTTTAGCTTTTTAGTAAATAAGTTAGCTTTAGCGTAATTATTCTTAGCTAGAGTAGTAAGCTATACGTCTATTACTTTAGCTAGCTTAATCTCTAAGTAAAGATTATAGCTTTTAGTTATAATAAATATAAAGACTTCTATACTAGTGTTAACTAATATATTAGCTTTAAATTTAGCTATAAGTAGTAAAAGAGCCTAATTATCTTACTTATAGTTAATATAAGTATATAAGTATTACTTAAGAAAGGTATTTATATTTTTAGTCTAACTATTAGTCTCTAGATAGTAGGTAGTAGATAGCTTAAGCTTTATTTCTAGCCTTTAGTAAAGATAAGTTTAGAAATAAAAGATAAACTATAGTCTATAATTAGATACTATATACTCTAGATATCTCTTCTTTTTTTAGATAAACTTAATAAATATATATATAAGCGTATCTACGCGTAAGTTAATAATAGATATAAACTTTTTTTTCTTACTAAATCTATTAATAATAACTAGAATATTCTTATAAGTACGCTTATTATTAGTATAAGCTAGTAAGTAGGTAATATAATTTATAGAGATTAAAGTCTAGTATTAGTCTAGAATTAGTAAGAGATATAATAGACTATACTTTTCTTCTTAATATAACTTAACTCTTTAGTAAGTAAAATAAGTATATATATACTAAGTAATATTATATATTATCTATAGCTAGTAATACTATTAAGCAAGCTTAGCGTATATTTTATACTTACTACTATATCTACCTCTATATAGAGATCTATAGACTTAGTTTAAAACTTTTATTTAGATATTATCTATATTAAAGATATAAAGCTTACTTTATATATAGAGTAGATTATTATAAATAGTATAATTTCTAAGTTTAATATATAGCTTCTAGTTATTATTAACTATATTAGAAGAAAAATAGTAGAGTTTATCTTTTTTAGCCTTAATAATAGCTTATAAGAGTATATCTTATAAGTAGATAGCGCTAATATAATTAGTAAAGTTATCTACGTTATTCTATAACGCGTTATTCTCTTCTCTAAAGCTCTATTACTTTTAATTCTAGTCTATACTAGTAGGTGTAATACCTATTATAGAGAGAGCGCTAGTTTTATATATTATTACTACCTTACTATTATTATATATATGCTAGGTAATATTAAAGATAGTAAGCTAGGCTTAATAAAGATAATAGTAAGCTAAAAATAGAGCTTATCTAGTATTAGAACCTTAGTAGCTAGTAAGAATTATAATATAAAGCTTAGAGTTAACCTAATAAAGCTTAATAACTATCTACTACTAGTACTAGTAATAGTTATTATCTATATACTATAGTAGAGAGATTAGAAGTATCTCTATTAGAATAGGTACTTAATATAGTTAATTATATTATGTATATATATGTATTTTATATTCTTATCTAAACGCTGTTTAGACCTAGCTTTCTCTAGCGTACTAACCTTTAAGCCTAATAGCTATTTAGCCTATTATTATATTACTAGTTTTACTACTATATCTCTTCTATACTTAAGAAGAAGGCTTTTTTTTTTTCTTAAGTATAAAAGAGAGAATAGCTCTTAGATATTCTCTTCTACCTATTATATTACTAGATTCTATTTACTTAATCTAAATATACTATACACTAAACTTCTACTTAGAGATTTAAATACAAAATCTCTTTAGGCTATTTCTTTTCTAGTATATTTTTCTTTATTACTCTTCTTATTTTAATTTAATCTCTTCTACTAGCCTATAGCCTCTTTCTCTATTTCTCTAGTATATTTTAAACCTTATCTTAATTACTTTTAATATTAGTAGCTAATAATCTCTTAGACTTAGATTTATATCTTTCTTAAGTTTAATCTTTACTTTTCTATAGCGCCTACTTATCTAGCGCTTAACTCTCTATAATATTAGCCTTTTCTCTAATAAATATTTTATTATTTCTAGTGTATTACTAGTACATCTATAAAGATATTCTAGAAGGTTTATATATACTATACTACTATTAGAACTTATGCGCTAGTTACTCTACTTTTTTACCTAAGAGCTCTT